TCCCAACTACCCTTTGCCTCTTGGCTTTTACATTTCTTTATTTCTGTATACCTTTCTTTACTTCCTACTCTGTGACTGGCTGTGTAGCTGGGTGACTGCTCCCTGATGTCCTACTCTTCTTCGCCTTTTCTTGCTCCTCGATCTTCTCTTTTTCTCCTCATATTTATTTTTTCTGCTTGTCAGCCTGCCTATTTTTTCTCCTGCCTAGCTATTGGCTATTCAGCTCTTTATTAGACCAATCAGGTGTTTTAGACAGGCAATGGAACACAGCTTCACAGAGTTACACAAATGCAATATAAAAGAATGCAGCACACCTTTACATAACTAAACAAATGTTCCACAGCAAAACCACATTTTCAGCTAATATTCCACAACAAAACTTTTTTCTTTAATAAATTGAAACAATGAATTCAAGTATTTGTAAGAAAAACCTTTTCTGAAATCTTATAATTGCAGACTCCTCATCACTAATTTTTTTGGTCATACTTTCATGTTGATGTCTACATATTCTTAAAGGACACTTCTGTGTAAATTATCCCACATGCATTTTTAAATAATGAAAAAGTTTTGAAAAGTATCAAGTTTTCTTTTATATTTTTATTGACACTTAAACCCTCCATTGATATTCCTAATAACCAATATAAATGAATTGTTTGTTTTTCTAGACATTGCTCCATAACCATGCAATTTGATATACACACATACACACATTGTTTCAAAAATCAGAATCTACATAAAGAGAGAAGGTATTTCAACACAAAAAAGTCATATCTCACAAGTCTACAGCTAATATCACAATTGTGAAAATTAAAAACTTCTTGTCTAACATGAAAAACAAAACATATAGTACTGGATTTTTTGTTTTATTATTTTTTAAGACAGGGTTTCTTTGGGTAGCCTTGATTGTAATAGAACTTACTCTGTAGACCAGGCTGGCCTAGAACTCAGAGATTCACCTGCCTCTGCCTCCCAAGTGCTGGGATTAAAGGCATGTGCCATCACTGCCCAACCACTACTGGAATTCTTAGCTAGAACAAGTAAGCCAGGAAAAAAAAAACCATACAATCAAAAAACATGAAGGCATTCAAACACAAAAGGAAGATGTTAACTTGTTTTTATTTACAAAATTTTACATATAGCAATCCCCAAAGATACCACAAAAACCTATTAGAACTAATTTTATGTATTTAGGAAAGTCAAAGCATGCCAAAAATTACAAAACAGTAACATTTGTGTATTTTAGCAAATGGAACATGCTAAAATTCATTGAATTGTGGATTTTAAATGTGTGGATGTATGGAATATGAACTATATTGCAATGAAAGTGGTATAAATTTATAATTATTATATTTAGTTTCCATCCTAACTATTATAACATGTAATTGACTTTCACCATAAATGAATGCCTTTATCATTTTGAACAATGTTTCAGCTTTATAGCTCCTAACTCTGTTTGTTCTTCTTCATATTGCTATGCTACTAATGTCAGTATTGAATTATTTAATTATTTTTTTAATGTTACCATGAGATATGAAATCCTATGGATGAGCCCCAGGGGAAAAAAACTATAGCTATTATTCAGCTAAAGGAACATGGCAAAAAATGAGTCCTATGACTCCTTATAGCATTCCTCACCCCTCATTAGAGAAGCTTCTTCCTGCTGTAGATGGGAATTAACAGATACCCATAACTGACACAAGGTGTAGAGAGTGAGAGACTTCAGAGTATTTAGTCCTAAATGAGATGTCTTTATCCAACCCTGGTCCTCCAAGCTCGGGGATCTATGCTGAAGGGGAGACAGAAAGATTGTGAAAGCCAGAGGTCATGATTGACTCCAAGGAAACAGTGTCTTCTAGACACAACATGAAACACATATGAGCTCACAGAGACTGTGACAACACACACAGGACCTGCGCAGACCCAAGCCTGGCAAAATCCCCAGCACTGAGAAGGGGAAGTGGACACCAAGTTGGGTGGGTAGGGAAATGGGGAGGATCTATGAGAAGTTGGAAGAAACAAAAGAATATGATAAAATATATTGTATACCTCATAGCACTGCTTTTTTAACTAATTAAATACTGTGTGTGGTTGTTTTGCCTATATGTATGCCTATATAGTATGCATCCAGTGCCTCAGAGTCCAGAAGAGGGTGTCAGATCCCTTGGAACTGGGGTTATAGAGGACTGTTATGCTAGGAATTAAACCTAGGTCCTCTGGAAGAGCAGCTAGTGTTCTTTTTTTTTTTTTTTTTTTTGGTTTTTCGAGACAGGGTTTCTCTGTGGTTTTGGAGCCTGTCCTGGAACTAGCTCTTGTAGACCAGGCTGGTCTCGAACTCACAGAGATCCGCCTGCCTCTGCTTCCCAAATGCTGGAATTAAAGGCGTGCGCCACCACCGCCCGGCTGCAGCTAGTGTTCTTAATTATTGAGCCACCTCTCCAGCCCAAGCCCTGCTATTTGAAATCCTAAGTTCACCTTCCATAGCAAATACAACTTCTCCCTGGAGTTATTCTTCTATCTTTGTGGGTACAAGTGACATTACTAATTATGCGCACCATCATGGCATTCATCTTTAAAAGTTACTTGAATAATTTTGCTCTTGGGCAACTCTCTGTTATTGTATTATAGTTACTTACAAATAAATTTCACCCCCCTTTCCAAGATATTTTATCCTTGAAGAGACAGACAAACCGTTTTCAGCATTTTGAACTTGCAGCATTTATCACAGTTGCTTGGCAGGACAAGAACTCAGTCAATGTTTGTTGAATAATTGTGACTCAAAAGAAACAGTGTGGTGAAGGCTGAATTGAATATGAAGAATTTGCTCCTTACTCCTAGCAGTAAGAGAACTTAGTAATTTACTTTTGGAATAGTCATCAATATTTGTTGGATGAGGTTTTATCTAGACAGTCAGATATTTAAATAAATGCCAAAAGGTGGTGCAAAATTGCCTCATGCCATTTGGACCACATAACACATGTATGGGAGGGTCTGTTCTGAAGTCATTCTTAGAACTGGTTAAGTATGTCTTCAGGAATTTTCAGACTTTTAAGGACAGATAAAATTTACTTTCTAATTTTGAGTTGCACACAATAATGAATTTCATTATAACATTTTCTTAAATATATATCCTTGTACTTTGTAACTACTCACTTCCCCACTGCCATTCCTGCTCTACTATTTCCCCCTCCATTCCTCTCCCTAATAGTTCCCTTCTGTTTTCGTCACACAGATGTTTTCTCTAGCTACTATTGGCCTTTGTTTAGACAAATGTAAAAGCCAGCATAGTTTCATTTGCCTTTTCAAAACAAAACAGAATAAACTGTTTTTGCATGAATTACAATTAATTTTTATAGCCATTTTTATATATTAAGTGATTATATATAATCAGGAGAAGTAATTTGAGTTAAGGTTTGTCCTAAATAAGTAAAAATGGGAGCATAATTGGCAATGGTTTTCCTTCTCCTATTTTTGTGCTGTTCTACTTAGTATTTGGCAGATGGAGTATGAATAGAAATGCTTAAGTTAGAATGCTTTATGGGGTTTTAAACTGTTGTTAATTAGTCGTGAAATAATTTTAATTACTTAAAAATTCCATTATGACCATGTTTCAAATATGTGCTTCATTTTGACAAACTACTACAGACCATCATTTTATAAATAATTTTACTTACACTTAACTTTGTGGGAAGGAAAATAAGGTGGATATACTTAATATATTCATAGAGAAGAAATCTTACAGGGCAAAGAGAAACTGTTTACCTCAAATTGGATTATAAAAATCTTGGTCTTTGGCACTTTATCAGCAGTTCAAAGCAAATTTTAAAAAGTTAGAAAGTAGTATGAAAGAGTATTGGTGTGCAAAAGAGTTCCACGATAGCCCAGAATGGAGTATAATAAAGGTTTATTTATTGGAGGATAAACTCACAGAAAGTGATATGCAGTCTTCTGTGTGCACTAGGAACTGAAACAAAATCCAGCAGTCAAGAGGCCTGTACAAAAGAAGGCTTTTTGTCTGCATTTATAGTACATGAGACCACGCTCAAAATGGGCCAGTATTTAAGAGGCTATTGGCTGAAGGAATTCCCACAGAAAAAGAGAAGAAGGGATCAACTGAATGTAAGCATCTTCTACACTCTTCTTCTTACTCTATGTACTCTTTATTTGCCTCTTTGTATTTTTACTACTAGTGTAGAGAAAAGAGATGGCAGCCATTAGCTTCTCTTAATTTTCCCAGCTTTCATGAAGTATAAAAATTGAGTCATAATTAAATACAATTAATTAAACACATAATTAAACATAACATAAACACAAATTATGTATTCAAGATATACATGTATTGTCTTGATATAACTATACATTGTTGAATTACTATCAAAATCAAGGTGACTAACATGTTCATTTTTTCACAAGTTAGTTATTTAAAACATACTGTTTTTTTTTTGTATTAGGTGAGAACAGGTAAGGTGTACTCACTGTAGCAATTTGCATGTTTATAATACATCACTATTATAGTCTCCATCCTGTGCTGCTGGCAGGACTTATTTACCAAATCGTGAAAATTTGTTCTCTTGACTAACATCTCTCCATTTCCTCCACACCCTGATTCCTGGAAAGAACCATTCGACTCTGGTTCTATGGGTTCAACTATTTAAAATTTTATATGTAAGTAAAAGCATGCAGTACTTTGATTTTCTGTGTCTTGTTTATTTCACTTACCATAATGTCTGCCACGTTGTCCAAATGTCTGGATTTCCTTATTTTTAAAACCTGATAAAGTAAACTATTTTTGATAGCTCTGGTAACTGTTGATGAGAAGGGGGATGATGCTATGTATAAGGCATGAAGGAGTAGAAACCCCTCTGTTTATTAATCATTCAAATATTTGTTGAATGAGTAAACAAAAGATTAAGAAGGCATGTTCTCAATTTTAAGAGATTTATAATCTAGTAAGAGACATAATGCAGCCTGCGAGTTTCTTCCTGCTGTCTGCATCTGGCCTCTGGCCTCTAGCCACTTCCCTCGTGTCATGGCCCCGAAACGGCAATCTGCGCTTCTGCCTCAGTCCAAGAAACCCAAATCGGCTCCGTCCCCGAAACTGGAGGACAAGTCTGCCTCTCCCGGCCTGCCGAAGGGAGAAAAAGAACAGCAAGAAGCAATTGAACACATTGACGAAGTGCAAAATGAAATAGACAGACTTAATGAACAAGCAAGTGAGGAAATACTAAAAGTAGAACAAAAATATAACAAACTCCGCCAACCGTTTTTTCAGAAGAGGTCAGAATTGATCGCTAAAATCCCAAATTTTTGGGTAACCACATTTGTCAACTATCCACAAGTGTCTGCACTGCTTGGGGAGGAAGACGAAGAGGCTCTGCATTATTTAACCAGAGTTGAAGTAACAGAATTTGAAGACATTAAATCAGGTTACAGAATAGATTTTTATTTTGATGAAAATCCCTACTTCGAAAATAAAGTTCTCTCCAAAGAATTTCATCTGAATGAGAGTGGTGACCCATCCTCACAGTCCACTGATATCAAATGGAAATCTGGAAAGGATTTGACAAAACGCTCGAGTCAAACACAGAATAAGGCCAGCAGGAAGAGACAACACGAAGAGCCAGAGAGCTTCTTTACCTGGTTTACTGACCACTCTGATGCAGGTGCAGATGAGTTAGGAGAAGTCATCAAACATAACATTTGGCCAAACCCCTTGCAGTACTATTTGGTTCCTGATATGGATGATGAAGAGGGAGAGGCAGAAGATGATGACGATGATGATGAAGAAGAAGGCTTGGAAGATATTGATGAAGAAGGAGATGAAGGTGAAGAAGATGAAGATGATGATGAAGGGGAAGAAGGAGAGGAGGATGAAGGCGAGGATGAAGGCGAGCACAGAAGACTGATGGATTCCGACTCTCTTTTTTATTTTCTTTTTATTTTTTAAATTTCTCCAGTCCCTGGGAGCAAGTTGCAGTCATTTCCCTCCCGTCCCCAATCCCTCTTGTGCTCAGGCGCCCTGTTTCTGAGGTCTCACTTCTCAATACCATGATTCTCAATTTATTTTGGGGGAAATGTCTTGAGCAAAATACAATGGGAAAAGAAAGAATCTCCACTACTCTGTTCTACATTCATTTTTATCTTTTCTTGTCTTGAACTGTGGATTCAACCCCACCACCACCGTGTTCTGTGGGAAAAAAGAAAAGCCCTCCAGCCCCTTTGGCTCTGCTGGAGGCTGGAGGGTGCTAGGCCCCTGTGTAGTAGTGCATAGAATTCTAGCTTTTTTCCTTTCTCTGTATATTGGGCTCAGAGATTACACTGTGTCTATGTGATACAGACAGTTAGTATTTACCAACATGTATCTGTCTATTTTCTCTTGTTTAATAAAAAGAAAAAAAAGAAAAAAGGGGGGGGTTAGAAGGTCAGCAAGGGTGGGTTTGAGGTGTCTGGGGGGGTAAGTGGGCATTGTGACAACATGGCTTCTCCTTTGGCATGTTTAATTGTGATGTTTAACAGACATCCTTGCAGTTTAAAATTACACTTTTAAAATAAAATTCTCTTCTAATGATGACTCGAGCCCTACCACTCAATGGGAGAATCAGCAGAACCTATAGGGATTTATTTGGCGTTCATATTCTCTGTTGTAACTTTATTTTTAATTTTTTTTTATTTTTAGTTTTTTGGTTTTCACTGGAAGGAAAAGATGCTCATTTTAAATGTTGAAATGTACAAGTTGCTTTGTTACAATAAAACCAGTGTGTACACAAAAAAGAGACATAATGCATGCAGTCAAATGGCAATTACAAATTATAGACTAAGTATTATTGGACAGGCTATAATGTGTTTTTTTTAAAATGTTAAATCCTTCCTCAGCAAATCTGGAGAATCACTTCCTGTTTAGGAGTGCCTGTTGAGTCTTGAAATACTTTTATTTTTAATACAGTGTGTGTATGTATGTGTGTGTGTTATGTATGTGTATGTGGGTGTGGGCACATGAGTGGAGATCAGAGTTTGTGTGTCTTTCTTAGTTATTGTGTACATTGGCTCCCCCAATGTACTTGTGTCTCACTAATTCAACCAGATGTCTCTAGGAATCCAGCCACATCCATGCCCTTCTCATTCAGCATTGGAGTTACAGATGTGGGCTCTGTAGATCCAAAGTCAGGACCTCATGGTTGTACAGGAAGAACTTTATCAACTGAACCATTGTCTCAGTTCTTGAAAACACTTTAAAGACACAGCATCAAATCTTATCCTGAAGCATATATAGAATCTTAATAGGCACTTAGGAGAATAATCACAAGAGCTATATTGTCAATTTCTTCTTTCTGATTGTGCTTTCCCCTCATCTAATGCATGTTGGGGCAACCTTGAGGGGTGCCCAGGTCACAGGAGAAGCCTAAAATACCAAATCCCCTGGAGACTGTGTGAATTGAGAATTGAGGAAATGATGGGGGGCTGGGTGGGGGAGAATCCTAAATATTTATACACTGAAGAATAACTAGATCAAAATCTAGGAACAGAATAATGGGAACACAATTGTTATAAGCAAACAACTACCATATGCAAAATTGTAACCCATGTATTTCATGTGACATTACATGTTCACAGTCTGAAGGAATAGGGCAGTCCTCAGGTCAAAAATATTGGTAAGAATACTGCATCAGAGACCTGGATTTGAGTAGGGCAGACAGCCAGACATCAAGATTGAATAGTAGAGCTATAAGAGTGCTTGAACCTTGGCACAACTCTGTTAGGAACTGTATGTCGTGACTCTATCACTCAGGTTAGATAGTTGATTCAATTTGTCATATCAATTTAAACATAGCAAACAGTGAGAAATTGTTCCCATTATATGTCCAGAACTCATTGCTGCTTTAATACATTGGTTTTGATCTACTGAACTGTTCAGCTTGGTTTTAAGTGGATGTCTTCTCCCAACACTCATTCTTGTCTCCAAAACAGGGGTGGGCTCTTTTGTTTTATTTTAATTTTTATTACATTTATGTGTGTATGTGCACATGTGTGGGCATATGTAAAGATCATAGGACAACTTCTTGCAGGAGTTTATTCTTTCCTTCCCCCATATAGATTCATGTTGTTAGGTTTGGTGGCAAGCACCTTTAGCCACTGGGTCATCTTATAGCTATTTTTGTTTTGTTTTAAGGCAGGATCTCACTGAGTAGCTCAGGCTGGTCTTGAATTGGTTAAATCCAAGCACAGCCTCTTCCTGAGTGCTAGGATAGCAGGCATGCACAACTATAACCATCTTTTCTATTACATGGCCATACATTCTCAGCTCTCTGTACTTACTTTCTATCCCCACTGTTAGTGCCTTTAGTTTTCCTGTAATTTTCCCCCTTCCTTAAAACAGAAAAAAACCCTCCTAATTTCCCTCCCTGGCTTCCATCTGACAGCTTGTTTTGTCTTAATGACTTTGCTATGGCCAAATAAAAAAATCTTATTATGTTATTTGCAGGCCTTGTCTTTCATTACTCTCAGTTTTCACCTTTGCCATGATCATCTGAATGTGTGATGATACTCTCTACTTTTACACATGGTGGTTCTTTAATTTTAACCATTGTATTTCCTTCCTTCCATTTCCAGAATTTGATCCAGTCCTTCTCCAGAGTGGGGCTACTTAGGACTGCTCCCTTTCCCTCAAATCTCAACCCACACAGACTCAGGGCATTTGGTATTTGGGGTAGTCACTGGGCAGCAGAGAGCTGGCTGGTTCATATTTCAGGAAGTGTGATACAAAGTTGACTACCCTATCCCATTTCTCCAACTCTTATGGAGCTAACAGTGAGTGAAGGCTGGGCATTGAAGAGGCCATCTGTTAACTAAAGTCAAGGCAGCCAGAGATCAGGATCTAGAGGCCCATAGGGCAGTCTATAGTCAAGACGCATGGGAGTTGAAGGCTTTGGACTTGCATACCTTCTCTGTCTGCTACTTTTATATTGCGCAGTTTGTTTGGACCACCTTAAATTCCTAAAAGTGACTGATAGAAGTTATCTTGATGCTGAAGGGAACTTATTTTGTGCCAATTTAAAATCTCTTTATAAAATTTAATAACAAGTCCTCCTAAGTTTTGAATAAGTTTGCATTTCAAAAACTCTCCCACTAATAGTCATTGCTAAACTAATTTTATTCTACAGGTAGAGAGGGCTAATTAAATCATTCATAAGAATGAGCTTTTAGGATAACTCCTCTCTTGTCTCAAGCAACATGGAATTTTAACTAAGTACCAGATAAATTAGTTCTGCCTCTGTGGCATTTTCCGTAGCTAATGTTTTACAACTGTTCAAAAACATAATCAGTCATTGTAGGACAACAGGTTTTGCAGCTGCATTAACAAAGAGAGCTGCATAGTTTAGATTTGTTATGTTCACTAATCTTAATATTAAACACACACTAATAAAGATTCAATAAAGTCCTTTATTGACAACTCAACTACATATTGAGCATCTGGTATAAAGAAAACAACACACGGTTTTAGGTACTGAATGGGGTGCAAGGAAGTGGAAGACCCATTCTAAATATCAGGGAGAGATTTGTAGGAAATGCAAAATACAGAGAGAAAAATAAAAACAGAAGGAAGAATGTAACGTATCACTAAAGAGGCATAAAATTTAGCTATTCCAGGGGAATGATTAAAGAAAAAAATCGAATCTTGAGTATATGTAGGTTGCAGACATGAAAACAGCAGGAAATAGTAGCTAGGGAGAGAGAATCCCATGAACAAGCAGTATGTATAAAGATTGTTCAATGTAGTGATGAGGAAATATTTGGGAAAGATTATCCAAAGCTTTTAAAACATGCCAGTGGATGAAGCCATTTTAGCCAATGTTATGTTAAAAAGTGTTATTGGCACATATTCATTGTACATAGGGATGGGTTTCATAAAGTATATCGTGTGATTTAAGCATATCTACCCTCAACAACCTTCCCCTTCTCACATCTCTGCCCCATTGCTAAGCTCTTCTGTCCCCTAAATAATCTTGCTTCTAATTTCATATGGTCTTATGTACCTATATATAATCTAGAATCTATGATGAAAGAAAGCATGCTATTTGTCTTTCTGATACTGAGTTATCTCATTTACTATGATGATGCCCAGTTTCACTCTTTTTTTTTTCAGGAAATGATTTAATTTCATTCTTTCTGGTTGAATAAAACTCTGTGATCCCTATATAGACCATTTTCTTTATTTCATCTGTTGATGGACACCTAGAGTGATTCCATAACTTTGCTATTATGAATAGTAAAATTATTAACATGCGTGTACTAGAATTTATGTAGCATGTGGACTTTGAATCCCTTTGGTGTGTACCAAAGAATGGTATAGCAGGGTCATGTGATTGGTGTATTTATATTATTTTAAGGAGCCTGCATACTCACTTCCACACTGGCTGGATGGGCAGTGTCTAAATATTCCATTCCCCGCTCGTCTTCCCCAGCACTTGTTAATAAGTTTTTCCTTTAGAATTGTCATTCTTATGGGTGAAATGGAACCTTGATTTTTTTTTTTTTTGAGACAGGGTTTCTCTATAGCTTTGGAGCCTGTCCTGGAACTAGCTCTTGTAGACCAGGCTGGCCTTGAACTCACGGAGATCCATCTGTCTCTGGCTCCTGAGTGCTGGGATTAAAGGCCTGTGCCCCTACCACCCTGCAGAACCTTGATGTTTTATTTTGTGTTTCTCCAATAACCAAGGATACAGAATGTTTTTCTTTTTTTCTCTCTCATATATTACATCCTGGCTGCAATTTCCCCTCCCTTCCCTCCAGTGCCTGCATCTGTCCCCATCCATTCCTCCTCTGTTTCCTTTCAGAAAAGGCAGGCCTTTCACAGCTATAAACCTAACATGGCATAACAAGTTATAATAAAGCTAGGCACATTCCCTCAAATTAAGGCTGGACGAGGCAAATTAGTAGGAGGAGATGGGTCCCAAAAGCAGGCAAAAGAGTCAGAGACAGTTCCTGCTCCCACTGTTAGTAGTACCACAGAAACCCCAAACTACAGTACTGTAGAATATGTGCAGAGGATATAGGTCAAACCCATACAGGCTTTCTGATTGTTGATTCAGTTTCTGTGAGCCCCTAAGGGCCCTGGTTTGTTGATTCTGTGAGGGCTTTCTTGTGATGTCTTTGATCTCTCTGACTCCTACAATCCCTTCCTTACTCTCTTCTGCAGGATTCCCTGAGCTCCGTCTAATGATTTGCTGTGGTCTCTGCATCTGTTCCTATCAGCAGCTGGATGAAACGTCTCTGATGACTGTTATGCTAGATACTGGTCTGGTTACATAAGATGGCCGGTTCAGGTTCTCTATCTCTCATCACTAGGAATCTTTGCTAGGGTTACCCTTGTGGATTCCTGGGAGTTTCCATTGTCCCCATGTGCCCCCAATTCCAGTCGTCTCTTTCTAGTACTATTCCCCTACCCCACTTCATGTTTCTGTCCCCACCCATTTCTAGTCCCCACATGGAATCTCTTTTATTTCCCCTTCCCAGTGAGACCCATGCATCCCCCCATCAGTCCTCCTTGTTACCTAGATTTGCTGAGTCTGTGGAGTGTAGCATGGTTATCCTTTACTTTACAGCTAATATCCCCTTATAAATGAGTACATACTACATTATAATAAAGCCAGACACAATCACTCATATTAAGGCTGGACGAGGCAACCCAGTAGGAGGAGTAGGGTTTCAAAAGCAGGCAAAATGTCAGAGACAGCCCCTGCTCCCACTGTTAGTAGTACCACAGGAACCCTAATCTTGTCTTTCTGGGTCTGTGTTACATCATTCAGGATGATTTTTTCTGGTTCCATCCATTTGCCTGAAAGTTCTATGATGTTAATTTTATTTTTTAAAAAAGCTGAGTAATACTCCATAGTATAAATGTGCCACAATTTCTTTATCCACATTATGTGGTTGAGGGGCATCTAGGTTGTTTCCAGGTTCTGGCTATTATGAATAGAGAGCTTCAGTGAACATATTTGAGCAAGTGTCCTTGTGGTAGGATTGAGCATCTTTTGGGTATGTGCCCAGGAGTAGTACAGCTGGGGTATACCTTGAAGTAGACCTGTTCCCAGTACCCTGAGAAACCACCATATGATACAGAACATTTAAAAATATGCTTATTAATTATTTATACTTCATCCTTTAAGAACTTTCTGCTCATTCTGTTAGTCTTTTTGTTAGCTGGCCTATGGAAGCCTGAGTTTGACAACAGGTGTCTTATTTTATCACTGTCCCCCTTATTTTTTCAGGGTCTCTTATTGAATCTGGAGCTCACTGTTTGGGCCCCAGGGATCATCCTGTCTACTCTATTCTTTATAATTATTCTTTTAGTACTTTTTTTTTTGGAGACAGGGTTTCTTTGTGTAGTTTTGACTGGCCTAGAACTCATTATGTAGAACAGGCTGGCCTCAAACTCACAAAGATTTATCTGCCTTTGCCTCCTGAATGTTGGGATTAAAGGCATGTGCCACCACCTCTTGGCCTATCTATTCTATTCTTAAGACTTTCTTTTTTTTTTTTTTTTTTTTAAATTTATTTATTTATTAAGGATTTCTGCCTCGTCCCCACAACCGCTTCCCATTTCCCTCCCCCTCCCCCGATTAATTCCCCCTCCCTCATCTGCTCGAAGAGCAATCAGGGTTCCCTGACCTGTGGGAAGCCCAAGGACTGCCCACCTCTATCCAGGTCTCGTAAGGTGAGCATCCAAACTGCCTAGGCTCCCACAAAGCCAGTACGTGCAGTAGGATCAAAAACCCACTGCAATTGTTCTTGAATTCTCAGTATTCCTCATTGTCCGCTATGTTCAGCTAGTCCGGATTTATCCCATGTTTTTTCAGACCTAGGCCAGCTGGCCTTGGTGAGATCCCAATAGAACATCCCCATTGTCTTAGTGTGTGGGTGCACCCCTCGTGGTCCTGAGTTCCTTGCTCGTGCTCCGTCTCCTTCTGCTCCTGATTTGGACCTTGAGATTTCTGTCCGGTGCTCCCGTGTGGGTCTCTGTCTCTGTCTCCTTTCATCGCCTGATGAAGGTTAATATTCCTGAGGATGCCTATGTGTTTGTCTTTGGATTCACCTTCTTATTTAGCTTCTCTAGGAACATGAATTATAAGCTCAATGTCCTTTATTTATGGCTAGAAACCAAATATGAGTGAGTACATCCCATGTTCCTCTTTTTGGGTCTGGCTTACCTCACTCAGGATAGTGTTTTCTATTTCCATCCATTTGTATGCAAAATTCAAGAAGTCCTTGTTTTTTACTGCTGAGTAATACTCTAATATGTATATATTCCATACTTTCTTCATCCATTCTTCCGTTGAAGGGCATCTAGGTTGTTTCCAGGTTCTGGCTATTACAAACAATGCTGCCATGAACATAGTTGAGCATATACTTTTGTTGTATGATAGGGCCTCTCTTGGGTATATTCCCAAGAGTGGTATTGCTGGATCCAGGGGTAGGTTGATCCCGAATTTCCTGAGAAACCGAAACACTGCTTTCCAGAGTGGTTGCACAAGTTTGCATTCCCACCAGCAATGGGTGAGTGTACCCCTTTCTCCACAACCTCTCCAGCAAAGGCTATCATTGGTGCTTTTTATTTTCGCCATTCTGACAGGTGTAAGGTGGTATCTTAAAGTTGTCTTGATTTGCATTTCCCTGATCGCTAAGGAAGTTGAGCATGACCTTAAGTGTCTTTTGGCCATTTGAAGTTCTTCTGTTGAGAATTCTCTGTTCAGATCAGTGCCCCACTTTATAATTGGGTTGATTAGCCTTTTACGGTCTAGTTTCTTGAGTTCTTTATATATTTTGGAGATCAAACCTTTGTCAGTAGCAGGGTTGGTGAAGATCTTCTCCCAGTCAGTGGGTTGTCTTTTTGTCTTAGTGACAGTGTCCTTTGCTTTACAGAAGCTTCTCAGCCTCAGGGAGTCCCATTTATTCAATGATGCCCTTAGTGTCTGTGCTGCTGGGGTTATACATAGGAAGTGGTCTCCTGTGCCCATGTGCTGTAGAGTACTTCCCACTTTCTCTTCTATCAGGTTCAGTGTGTTCGGACTGATATTGAGGTCTTTAATCCATTTGGATTTGAGTTTTGTGCATGGTGATAGATATGGATCTATTTTCATTCTTCTACAGATTGACATCCAGTTTTGCCAGCACCATTTGTTGAAGATGCTCTCTTTTTTCCATTGTATAGTTTTAGCTCCTTTATCGAAGATCAGGTGTTCATAGGTTTGTGGGTTAATGTCAGGGTCTTCTATTCGATTCCATTGGTCGACTTCTCTGTTTTTATGCCAATACCAAGCTGTTTTCAATACTGTAGCTCTGTAATAGAGTTTGAAGTCAGGGATGGTAATGCCTCCAGACAATCCTTTATTGTATAAGATTGTTTTGGCTATCCTGGGTTTTTTGTTTTTCCATATAAAGTTGATTATTGTCTTCTCCAGATCTGTGAAGAATTTTGATGGGATTTTGATGGGGATTGCATTGAATCTATAGATTGCTTTTGGTAGAATTGCCATTTTTACTATGTTGATCCTCCCAATCCAAGAGCAAGGGAGGTCTTTCCATTTTCTGGTGTCTTCTTCAATTTCTTTCTTCAAAGACTTATAGTTCTTGTCAAGTAGATCTTTCACTTCCTTGGTCAGGGTTACCCCAAGGTATTTTATGCTATTTGTGGCTATCGTGAAAGGTGATGCTTCTCTGATTTCCCTCTCTGCTTCCTTATCCTTAGTGTATAGGAAGGCAACTGATTTTTTGGAGTTGATCTTGTATCCTGCCACATTACTAAAGCTGTTTATCAGCTGTAGGAGTTCTTTGGTAGAATTTTTGGGGTCGCTTATGTACACTATCATATCATCTGCAAATAACGAAAGCTTAACTTCTTCCTTTCCAATACGAATCCCCTTGATCTCCTTATGTTGTCTTATTGCTATTGCTAGAATTTCAAGCACTATATTGAAGAGGTATGGAGAGAGTGGACATCCTTGTCGTGTTCCTGATTTAAGTGGGATGGCTTTGAGTTTTTCTCCGTTTAATTTAATGTTAGCTGTTGGCTTGCTGTAAATAGCTTTTATTATATTTAGGTAGGACCCTTGTATCCCTATTCTCTCCAAGACCTTTATCATAAAGGGGTGTTGAATTTTGTCGAATGCTTTTTCAGCATCTAGTGAAATGATCATATGGTTTTTTTCTTTCAGTTTATTTATATGGTGGATTACATTGATAGATTTGCGTATGTTGAACCAGCCCTGCATCTCTGGGATGAAGCCTACTTGATCATAATGGATAATTTTTCTTATGTGTTCTTGGATTCGGTTTGCCAGTATTTTATTGAAAATTTTTGCGTCGATGTTCATGAGTGAGATCGGTCTGTAATTCTCTTTCTTGGTTGGGTCTTTTTGTGGTTTTGGTATCAGGGTAACTGTAGCTTCATAAAAGGAATTTGGCAATGACTCTTCTGATTCTATATTGTGAAATACATTAAGGAGTATAGGTATTAGTTCTTCTTGGAAGTTCTGGTAGAATTCTGCATTGAAACCATCTGGTCCTGGGCTTTTTTTCGAAGGGAGATTTTTGATAACCATTTCTAATTCTTCGCGAGAAACCGGTCTATTTAGATCATTCACCTGGTCTTGGTTTAGCTTTGGTATGTGGTACTTATTTAAAAAAATGTCCATTTCTTTTGTATTTTCCAGTTTTGTGGCATACAGGCTTTTGTAGTAAGATCTAATGATTCTCTGAATTTCCTCTGTGTCTGTGGTTATGTCCCCCTTTTCATTTCTGATCTTATTTATTTGCGTGTTCTCTCTCTGTCGTTTAATTAGTTTGGATAGGGGTTTGTCGATCTTGTTGATTTTCTCCAAGAACCAGCTTTTTGTTTCATTGATTCTTTGGACTGTTTTCTGTGTTTCTATTTTGTTGATTTCAGCCCTCAGTTTTATTATTTCCAGTCTTCTACTTCTCCTGGGCGCGTCTGCTTCTTTTTTTTTCTAGAGCTTTCAGGTGTGTTGTTAAGTCCCCAATGTATGCATTCTCCGTTTTCTTTAAGTGGGCACTTAGTGCTATGAACTTTCCTCTTAGCACTGCTTTCATTGTGTCCCATAGGTTTGAGTATGTTGTCCCTTTATTTTCATTAAATTCAAGGAAGACTTTAATTTCTTTCTTGATTTCTTCCTTGACCCAGGTGTGGTTCAGTAGTTGACTGTTCAGTTTCCATGAGTTTGTCGTTTTTTTGGGGGCAGCGTGGTTGTTGCCTTCTAATTTTAATCCGTGATGATCTGATAAGACACAGGTGG